GGGAAAAAAAAAAAGTTCAAAAAAAAAAGAAAAAAAAAAAACTGACCTTGAAGATTGGGCATTTGACCAATTTCAGGGGGTATTTGACCGGAAAGATCGTTAACGTCAAGGTACAAATCGGTGAGGTCGGTGAGATTCGCAATCTCCTTGGGTACAACCCCCTGAAGCTTGTTGAAATGCAGGTACAAGCCGGTCAAGCCTCTGAGGCGGCCGATCTCCGGCGGTATCTCGCCGGAAAGCCCCTTTCCCTGCAGCGAGATGTTGACAACGTAGCCACCGCCGTCGCAGGCTACCCCTTCGAAGCCGGCGGTGCTGCATGGCTGAGCTCGGTGGTGCCATGATGTAAGAACCTGGTTCAGAGGGTCTAAGGAGGATTTTATGGTCATGAGGAGAGAGAGAGTGGCTCTGGTGTCGGGTTTGGAGAGTGAGAGTGGTGGGAGTGTGGAGAAGAGAAAGAAGAAGAAGAAGAAGAAGGGAGTGAGAAGGGAGATGTGTGCCATTTTTGGAGGGTTTGTAAATTGTGAAGTGAGAAAGTTGATTTGGGAGAAAAAGCTATGGGGACTTTTTTGTGTGCTTGTGCGTGTGTATGTGCGCAAAGTTGGATCGTTTTTTTAATTTTTTATTTTTTGGTTCAAAATGGTGTCACTGTGCTTTCTCACTGTGTGTGTGAGAGAGAGAAAGAGTACTGTTTACATGTAGTATTATAACTTTTTGGTTCAACAGAGAGAGAGAGAGAGAGAGCAGATTTTTGTCTCGGGGTGGTGTGACAAATTTTGAATTCATGGCCACTGGGAACACCGGTAGCGGGTTATCTTTTTTTCAAAAAAAGAAATAATNATGATTGAGTTTCAGAAAATAACATAATAAATTACAGGAAGCACAAGTCCTGTGGGGAAATGGTTCCTTCCATTAAAGATAAGTCAGTACATCTTTTAGTTTTGATATGAACATTTAAATGTAGTCTAGCAAAAGTGATGTGTAGATTCTTATTGGAGTTTTATATAAAGGATTAGTTCCGTCACGCCACTGTAGCAGTGTCTATAAATTACATGATTATGAGCCTATCACTTTTGTTGGAAAATTAGTTATTAAAAAATTGGTTTGGCCCGATTTTGATTTATTTTTATATAGCTAAATATTTCGCTCGAGCTGAATTAAATAGTGCAGAAAATTTATTCGTTCCAAGTAGATGCTCGTGATATATTTATTTTTTTAAAACTATTTTTTGTTTAGTGAGAAATAAATTATTAAAGTTAGTCATTAATGAGCACGTAAGACGTTGGTTGTGGGGGTCGAGAGTCATTTCTCCTATTGGACTCTTAAATGAGATTAACTCTATTTTATTATAATAAAGAGAATTGGAGATGTCACAACAACAACAAAACTATGCACAGGGGTAAGTGGGGAACCACTATTGATCCTTTTTGTAAGGAAAAAAAACAACAAAACTATGCACCAAGTGTTTGTGATGACTTCGACCACAAACGTATGCCCGTCGACCAGCTCTACTCAGACTCGAGCACGGGCCTGGGCTTTGGGCCTTGGACTTGGACGACCTAGGCTGGTGTTGGGCTTGGGTATTATGCCAAGCCCCAATAATTTTTTTGTTAAAAATTTATTTGCAAAATTGAGGCCCAAAATAAAATCAAAATTGAGTTAGGTTTTGTGCTCGAGTTTTGACCAACCCGTGTGGACCTCTCATACAATGTATCTGGATATTGTGGTGTTGACTCCACCTGACCGGTTCAGGTGGAGTAGTGGTGTGTTAACACACCAAAACGACATTCTTAACACCTGACCGTTTTTGCCCATTTACAACAGTCATTAGTGGGTTGTTACATGAAGACCAGAGAAGTACTATATATAAGACCTTTTTAGAATTGCAGAAAGATACATAAGACATACATTGCATCTCACACTCTAATGAAAGCGTCACGTGTCATATCACATACAGTGTTCGGTCTTGACTTTGTTCGTGTTCACCGGAGCTCTGACGCTAGCCATTGTATCTTTGGAGACATGACACATGTCTGTTAATACTATACGAGGCATTTTTTCTTTTGGAACAAATTTACTCTCCTCGGCTTTAATCTTTCCGTTTTCAAGTTGTACTTTGTTTTCATTTTTTAATTCATATTGTAAGAACTGAGCACTTCAATTATAGGTTCTTATGTATTCAACTGTGAGTTTGTAACAACTTTTACATTTGAAAAAACGGGTGATTGCAATTGCATTTAAAAACCTAGTGACGTGCTTGGATACAAATAAATACGTTTAAGACGGAATTTTATTTTTTGTCAGACAGAGTTAATTTCAAAAAATGTGGTATGATTAGTTGTTCGTGGAATTTTGAGTTTATATTAAAATAATATTTAAAATAAATTAATTTAAATTTAATTTGATGTAAAAATAGTAGAGAGATGATGTGAAGTGATAGTTATTTAAAATTATGTAAGTGAATGAATAATGAATTAAAGTTAATCTATGTGTAAGAATGATTGATTTATATTATTTAATTATACTAATAATATTGAGGATAATGTGATTGATTTAAAATTCAATTAGATTTTGAATATAAATTGAGTGTGAGTTAGAGTTTAATTATAAACAAATAAACTTAAATAAATACAAAAGTAAACTAAGTGCACAAAATCGGAATAGGACACCGCATTTTCAAATGGAAACCCAACCACATAAATACAAAACCAAACAAACTTTNACTACTAGTATCGACGAGCTTGCACACGGACTAGCCACTCATTAATGAAATAAATAGAATTACACATTCACATGTCAAGACTCACTCACAATTCTGAACACTCCAAAAATGGATAGGTGACCGATGACGAATGTCAAACTACAGCCTATCGAAAAAGGAGAGGCAGGTGAAGAAATTAGTTTTACACGCATATTGAAAAAAAAAAGAATTAATATTTTATTATTGAAATTAAACTCACGATTCAAATCAAAATGCGACCCACCTAACAATTCTTTTATCAATTTTGATTTTGAATTTCAAATGAGCACATACCAATTAAAATGAATATGCTCTAGGGCTTGGATATTTAGGTGATTTAAAGATCGGATATTGTCATTTAGGTAACACAAGATGATAGCATGTCCCGTTAAATATGATTATATTAGTTGATAAAAAGAAGTAACTCGAGTAAAAATAATAATTGGCTAGACTTTTTTTAGTTGATTGCTCGTGAAAATAAAATAATTAATTTATTCAGTTAATATAAGATAAACTCCAATCTTACATTAGATTCGTTTGAAGCTTATGTGTACATTTTTTTCTATGTTTATGTATTTGAATATAATATTATTGGTAAAATTTTTATAAAGTGTATTATTTATAATGTAATTTGTATTGATATTGTTTGAATTTATAAAGAAATATACATAAACATATTTTTATTATTTGGGTAACAAAAAATTATACATAATTAAATATTCATATATCTAACAATTTATTTGAATTAAAAATACATAAAAATATATTTAATGCAGTGTAAACCTTGAATTTTAACTTAGTCTACTCTAGAGAACTAGAGTTGCTGTGAGTAAACAACTCAATTGACTTTGACACTCGAATTAAATGTCTTTGTTTAAGTAGGTATAAACTATATTCTACTTCATTTACTGATGAAATCCATCAACTAATTATGAAGCAAATACTACAAAGGGTGTGGGTTAATTATATTTACAGAACTAGCTGCTACACAATTGTATAATAATAAAATAAAGATTCATAATTTAAAAATAAAATCGACCGTTTTGATGAGGAAAAAGTTGATGATAACTGGTAGCGAAATCCAAGAAGATTGTGCCTGCTATAATTTATTGGACATGTTTCATATTTTGAATCTTGTAGTTGTTCAAAGGCATTAAATGCTTATGTTCAAACTTCAGGTGTGGGGTTTGTAATCTAAAACAATAAACACAAAATATCATGGAATTTAATGCATGCTCCTATTATCTACCGATAATTCGCACTTCAGGAGAGTCCATTGTCCACTTTATTTTTTTTCCCATAATCGTAATCAAACTACATTAATTATGCTGCTAAGTGCTAACTAACATTTCATGGCAAAAAATCTATGGAGCAATTGAATGGTTATTTTTATGGAGCCATCTATTACCTGATGTATTGACATTTGTTCAAAGTGTATTTATTGTAGGACACGCCATACACTATTTGTGAATGTGGATGACTCCATAAGTCGAGTCATCCGATAGTTCAATAACAAAACTGCTAACCAAAGGCTTTAATAAAAACTAGTCGAACATATGAGAAGTCTTATATTAACGGTTGATATAAAATATTAAAATTACAACCAGTTT